ATATTACTGTGGTTTTATCCGTTTGGCTGTAATTCGTGTTCAAAGTTTAAAAAATGCTCGAAAAACGAGTGTTTTTACATTTCATTGATTTACTCGAAAAGTATAATACATAGAATGAATCCAAAATATGCATATAAAAGCTGAATTTTTGAGGAATCTAGCAAGTATTGCTATATTACTGTGGTTTTAGCCGTTTGGCTGTAAAATTTCGTTTCTTTCGTGTTCGTGTTAAAAATTTAAAAAATGCTGGAAAAAGCATGTATCGATATTTTACTGTGGTTTTAGCCGTTTGGCTGTAATTCGTGTTCAAAGATTAAAAAATGCTCGAAAAAGTAGTGTTTTCACATTTCATTGATTTACTCGAAAACTATAATAGATATAATGAAACCAAAAGATGCATATGAAAGCTGAATGTTTGGGGAATCTAGCAAGTATCGATATATTTCTGTGGTTTTAACCGTTTGGCTGTAATGCGAGTTCTTTAATGAAAGGGGAGGCGCCAAATGATTACATACTTTTGAGGAAGGCGTAGTAATATCAAGTTTGAAATCCACTGATTTACATAGTGAATTTGTCGTTATTTAAGATTAATATCTGCAAGAGTTAATAGAACGAGTAGAACCGAAACAAGTAATAAATTAGAGCGTAAAGTGCAATGTTGGAGGTATGGTGACTGATTGCAGTAGAGGAAAATGCAGCGTATTGCCGGGTATTCGGATTACCCAACAAACAGAGGAAACATGATTAGATGGAGGCAGACCCATTTCGCACCTGCCGTGATTTATCATACGTGCACTAATTCCGTTCCTCCGCTGGTGGGTCTGCGGTGCATGAGCAATTTGCAGCCCTCCGGCCACGTAATTTATTGGATTAATTTAGATTTTAATTTTGATATATACACGTCGTGCGGCCGCAGATATATATATATAAAAAAAAGGAAACGAAACGAACGGGAAAAAAGACGAGGAGAGGAGAGAATGGAAGGAGGGATTCCTTAATTAGATTTTTCTTTCACGTTCGTTTCTCTCTCTTTTTCGTGACACTCATTCTTTCACTCCTTTTTCTTTTTTTATTATTATTTGAGAGGGGCGACGGTTTTGGTGGTGGCTTTATGAAAGGGGACGATCAGTATGTGTGACTTGCGGAAAATAAAACCGGGATCCATTCCGGGACGAAGTAATGGCCCAGAGATTGTAGACATGAACTATCTTTACGAGGCCACTCTCTCTGTCTTTCATCCTCTTACCTCTACCACCAACCGTCCTTCCTGCAGTCTATTACTTTCCGTGGCCGGGAAATTGCTTCCGAATTAGAAGGTGGATCCGTGTTCTCAGACCACCCCAAACTTGAGAACCGGATTGATTAAATTGGCTCAGCGAAGTTCCTCAGATTACATCCACTCCGACACGGAGAAAGAACGATTGCATAAATAAATCAACAATGCACGAGACTATAATTCGATTCCATCGAAACGTTAATCATTGATTCTGTATAATTCTATTATATTATCATTGTTTGAATTATTTTGTACTGCAACAGAAGAAGACGATGACCTAGTAATTATACCTCCAAAAGTTGACAGTCTTATCCATACAGAGGAATTGAACGAAAATGAAATTCTATTGATGGAGGTAAAAAACTGAAGAGATATAAAAATGATCTCATCTTAATTATTACTTAATTTACAAAATATGTTATACAGTCTGCATACACATCATTCCGTTACGAAACTTTCCATGTATGTTTTTAAGATATTGCGGAAAAACTTGAAGAGGTTTTAACATGCGAAGGTGTGTCGTGAATGTCGAGAGCGTGTAGTTAAAATATTAAGGCGGAATGAAAGGGCGGGTTTTTAGGAAGGTGGGATGTTAATTGGAGTTGACGAGGAACGAGCGATAGGAATGGAGCGAGAGCAGAGGAAAACGGAAAGAAAGAACGTTACCTGCATTAACATTTCATACGCAAATCGCTTCTCATCTTTTTCCCAGACACATTTCATCCATGCTACGTGCACTCAGTCACGTGTAATCCAGCACGCGAATCCCCAATGCGAAAGAAGGAAGTATAGAAAAGAAAGCAAAATAAAAAGAGAAAGGTAAAGAGAGAGACAGGGAGAAGAAAAGAAGTTTTCCGCTTCCGGAAATACACAGAACGAACGAGAACTCGACAAACGAAATAATTTGAATTCTACGTTGGTGTTTTTAAAATAATCGCTTCCTCTTCCGCCGTCTTTGGTGGAAGAGGTAGAAGGAGGATGGAGGATCGTTTGAAAAATACATAGAAAATTAGAAGGGAGGCGCGGCGCCCTTCCGGATATGCAAGCGAATAAAACGGAAGTGTTAATTTGAAAAGTTACGAAATTCGATTAGCGAGTTTACTTTTATTGTGATGGAATCTGTCGGAGTTTTGTTGAATCGTTTCGAACAGAGTCTTGA